CGGCAGAGACTCCGAATTCGACTTCGACTTCGATGACGACGGCGACATTGATGACTATGGCCTCAAGCAGCTTAGCCCCAAGGAACTCGAAAAGGCCTTCAGGCTCATGAGCGAAATCCCGGACAAGGTGCTTGAATAGGGTTCCGATGCAACGGAGAAGTGGTAGAGAAAGCACAAAGGCCAATCAAAATTAGTCTCCGCCCATGGATGGACTGATCTGGGGAATGTTATCAAGTGCGCCGGTGCCATTGCCTACTTTATTGTGGAGAACTGGGGGGTGCTGGCCAAGCTGGGTAGGTTTAAGAAGGCCATTGATGATGTTGGCAGTTACAAGAATGCTGCGAAACTGCTGCTTAGCCGCAGGAAGAGAAGCCGGAAGAAGAAGGCCTACCAACGCATGCAGAAACTCGCCGCGGAGGTTATTGGCGTGGTTGTCATTCAGTCATACTGTACCTAAGTGGTTGACTGGGATGGTATTTGGAGGATTTTGACTCCCGAATGAACATGGATGATTGCACATGGGTTTGTTTCATTGGAAGGTGAATTTGGTGACCTCTTTTGAATACCCCTTTTTGTTTTCAAAACACAAAACTTGCACACTTGTGTAAATCCATGAATGGATGATATTTGTTGACTCAGCTTAAAACGCTCGTCGGTAAACGCGTTATATAGAGGATAGAGAGAGGGGGATATACATGGCTGATAGAAGAGCACATAAATTACGAACGCAATTGTGATGTTACATCACCTTGATTCATCTTGAACCACTTTTTATCAAAGGAAAAATGATCGAGTTGACCAAAATTCCAGATTCGCATTCTTGCAAAAACGTTGCTGAATGGAGCTCTTTGACCGGGTTTATAATGTTGACATGCGATGGAAGTTCCCCTTGTAGAACTCGCCCTCCATCTTCCATAGCTTCGCGCAAACATGACCTGCTCCACTCTGCTCCATTGTAAACTCGCTTTGGCTTCTCTCTCGGGTGGAGCAGAGCCACTTTTTGAAGAACTCTGGCCCCCTTCCCATGTATTGTTTTTTAAGAAGTGGCTTCGAAAGCCGCCAAGACTCAGCTTTGAGGAGGAACCTGACAGTCAAAAAAGAAAGAAAGGATCAAAATTCATCCTGTCGACATCCTTGATGTCCTATGGTTCGAACTACCAGATGATCAGTAAGATAGTGTCTCTTCAGATCAAAGCCTGGAACCTTGGATGATAAGTTAAGAAACGGGGAATTTCTTTCTTTGAAGGAATGTGGCAATATTAAAACTGATTTTTGTAAAGCCGCGAAAGCCAAACTTCCGATTGCGACTCGGAAGATAGAAAAGGCGCCATCTGGCTGTATGAGGAGTAACAAAGTATCAAGCCTACTAGCAGAGCGCAATGGCAGGAACTCAGGGCGATGCTCCTGAGAAAGGACGTCAGAAACGGGACCAGTAGAGCCAAAAGAATCTCAGTTTTTTCCTTTCTTTTCTGGGACCACAGCCTAGTACAATCGTTTAAGGCCCAAGGGCAAGTTGACTAATCATTATTGTTTTTTGGGGGGTTAGTTTATCATCTTCTGTTTAGAGACGAATCTTTCAGTGAATTCTTGGTTCCATTGGGCCAGATATTGTTCTCTCACAAAACTCCGTCCGGCTTGGGTACTATTCGCAATCCCATTTTGGCCTGGATACAACCTTTGAGTGGTTCCTAAGTCCGGTCGTACAGTGCGTTGTTGGACTTTCGGTTGGAAACCCCACATGCTCCACCAGCCGCGATATCCGTTGGGGGTGACATGAGGTTCACACAGCGAGATTCTTCGAACCACGATAATCAAACCGTCACCCAATCCACAATCCGGGTAGCGGTGTGAGCTCTGCGTGATACGCCAGCCTGAACCCTGGGTCGACATAGCAGTAACGGATTTCGACGGTTAACGTTCTGAGTTTTATTCACCGTGTTTGACTTCACCGTCTACCTCTACTAGACTTCGTAGTTGAATCTATATCTAGACAGTAACGTCAGAACATGCTTGAGTAAGAATCCATGCAAGCAGAAAGTATATATCGCAGTAATCGTCGGTTGGAAAGCTTAAACCGTGAAAAAATCACAGGTGACTGCTGTTGCAGCAGGGAAATGTAGGCAACCAATAAGGAGACGGGATGGAATATCCAACAATCTGACGGCCAGAAGCAAATACCCCCAGCCCCTCGATAAGCTAAGCTTGAAGTTTTGAGTCCGAGAAGCTTGAGTCTTAAGAAGCTTGTAAGAAGCTTGCTTGAGTTCCTAGCGACCCTCAAATAAACTGTGGCTGTCAAGGCATCTTGGCTTTTGTCCCTGTGAGCAGTATTTGAGGCAAAATGAGTACATAGCAAGCAGACCGAGAACTTGTATTATCTGTTGGGCCACACATATTCTCGGCGTATACACAGCACGATCCCTTGACTTGCGGTGGCATGTACTGTACTGAGCCAGAGCTTGTAAGGACAGAACAATAGTGTACAGGTTAGCACTATGTATGCATGCAAGTATGTGGACAAGACACATGATGATGTCGGTGGACTCCAGCGGGCGTTATCTTAGCAAATGTTTATCTATTTACCCCGCAATAACGATAGACAGCTGCAGCCTGTAGATCACCTTCGAGGAATGCGGTGTCGGAGCTTTCGCTGGTCCCTCCTCCGTTCTAGTAGGAAGACCTCTATGAAGAAAGTACTGTAAGAATGCACGCCGCTCAGCTAGTGGGGAGGGGCGCCAAGGTGTTCCAGGGTCGTTGCGTGCGCCTGTTCTTGCGGAGGAAGCATTGGATATTTGTCGTGCAGCTCGCGATTTCGAGGCAGTTCTTTTACCTGCCAAGGAGGTGCGGTGTGGTTGGGCGAAACTTTACCTGGACAACAGCAAGAATCCTTCAACATGTTTACAAATAGTATCCAGCAACTTCAAGGGGACTGGGGATCGGGATGTTGTTTGATCCGGGCTCCGAGGAACCCGCGATATTAGCATAGATAGATATTTGGCCGAGGGGATTTGGCGCCGAATCGGTCCAAGGGACCGTTGTCCAGAACAGCCTGGAGAAGAACAATCTATCCGATTTGCTCACCGCCACACTTGGCGGCTACACACAGACAAAAGATGATGCAATATGGCACTTCGTTTTTGGCTGCATCCCATCTGGCTACTGCGCACGTGCCCAACCATCATGTGCTTTTTTAATTATCACCGAGCCATCGAGGGTAAAGATGGAAGCGCTGCATACATGCATGCATGAACGGGATATTTTGCTTTGCCTGTTAGTTGGCGTGTTTTCGCATGCTGTTGCTGCTCCGTGGTTGGTGTAATGATTATTCTGAAGGCATTTATTGAATACTAGCACATTCGTGATAGGATCGCCACGGGCATGCCATGGCACTCCCACATATCCCACATGTGAAGAAGAGGATCAAGATGCACTAATATACTCCTAGTTCTTTCAGCAACATGTACTATATGTAGGTGTGTATATATGCATCTTCGCAGTAATAGTAAGAATGATACACAATTACCTACCCACGTCATCACCATCAGCCACAGCAACAGCAGCAAGGAGCAGGTGGGTGTTTCACGAAACACCTGCTGTTTTTGAATCGCCGCGTACAAGAACAACGAGGTCTTTAGGCGCAGTAGGTATGGAGATGCGAGGAAATGACCGGTTTGGGTCGTCTGTATCGTACGTTTGCTGACGTCGTGGTGCTGCGTGGCTCAGTTCCAAAATCATCATCAGCAGTGGCTTTGCTTGTGCAAGCTGGTCTGAGGAGTTAGTATTACAGTACGTGGTTTGCACGCAAAGGGGGCTAATTTTTAGCCAACGTAAGATGATCTGATAGCTCCGCTTGTAGCGAACTGTCAGGAGGCCTGTCGGTGATTATCTTTGACGCTGCACAGGAAATGCCAAACTCGATCCCTGATAAGCTACAGGTCATTGACTGCATGAGATCATGCTTGAATTGAATTGATGCTTTGTCCATTATTGTTTTGAGCTTCTTTCATCATTATTTGTTTTGTCATCAACAACAGCGACATGGAACAAAGCTAACCAGCATCCCGTGAAACAAATCGAAGCGGGAAATTACGTAGAGGGCGCAGAGTCTAAAAGGATAGTCTTGTAACGACCAGGTCGGGCGAATTTGACAACACGAGCGTCAGAGGCGCCGTGCTGATATGATTTTGGGATGCGGACTCTGCGAGCTTAAAAACATTCCTCAGCCATGAACCGCAAGATCCTTGTGTTTAAAAAAAAATTCAAAAAAAATTCAAAAAAATTCAAAGTAGAACCAGGATACTGGTTCCAAGATTAGATAGTACGGATTGAGAAAGGCGAATACGGCCGATCCATCCTTTGGAGCTTTTGTGCTAACCTCACCTCCCATTAGTGCCATTCACACAAGGATCTGCAGCTTACCTCTTGGAGGTTTGCCTTTATGAAGAGCTTTTATGAACAGAGCATGAGGAGATATACATCATAGTAGCCATGCTCTGTCTACATAGTAGTAACGGAGTAACTCAAGTCTAAATTCTTTGTAAAGCCACAAGGGTCGCCCGGCCTGCATGCCAAGCAGCTCATTTAACTTAGCTCTGCTAGCTTGGAGTGGACTCGAAGGCTGGTCAAACCAGAGCAGCCCCTGGAGACTGGAGAGGTAGACGAGGACAAAAAGAGTCAGTCCCTTGCCAGCGACGCTGCGGCCAATTGGTTGATGGAGAGGTCATTTCTCCAACGACCGAATTCGTAGCTGGAAGAGCATCATCGTCTCGAGTCAAAATGGCCGGGTTCCGGGTTCTCACTGGATGCGATTATCTTCTTTTTCTTTCAAGTCCTTTTCAACAGAGACCTGGTAAGGGGTGGCGCATGTTGATCAGTGATTGGGATATACGCTGCGTAGATTTCTGCCGCCGCTCAACGAGAGCTTTGGTTGCTGGAACGGGTCCACACATAGGATGCCCCCGGAGAAAAACACACATTTTGCACTCTCTGTTCAGCAAAATCGTCGTAGCACTGCGTGCACTGCCAGAGGGACGCATGTATCTTGTGGATTATCAGCATGCCATCCTCGACTCCTGGTTAGCTCCACTGGAAAAATGAATACACGATCATGCCGGGAGTAAAATACGACAACCCCCGAGCTCCGACCATTCCGCCTCATCCGCCCAGGGCTGGATATCGTATCCGGTATCGTAAATAACGACCCAAGCCCTCTTTCACGCCGAACCTGCCGTGCACGGCCCAATCAGCGGCTGTCTTGCAGGTGGCCAGCGCAATACCAAAAATACCGCAGAACCTCATCCTCGTCTCGTGCCAGCCACGGCCTCTGTTCTCGCTCAGCTTCGACTTCATCTTTTTCTCTCCCTCTTCTCTCCTTTCTTCTCTTCTCCATGTGGTCTCTCTCCGTCGCTTCCTTTCCTCCTGTCCTTTGACCGTCAGTGGCCTGCTGTGCTGCTCTCCGTCTTCTTCTCAGTCCCAGTCAATACGACGTCAACCTCTCCTCCTGATGTCGATTGTTTGGTGACATCGCGACCCTCACTTCCCTCAAGCTCCCGCCGTCTGAAACCCCGGCGCTAGCACTCCCTCACAAGCTGTTGATACTCCTTCCTACGCTTGCCTGATTGTCGTCTGCCTTCTACCTCGTTTTTATAAACGTCGTAGATCGCTCTCCACATCCCTTTTCGCTGGCCGACTTACCTGGCCGCTGCTCTCCCCTAATCCTCCCGACCGATTGCTTCGCTCCATAATGGCCGGTGTTATGAACCCAGTGATCCCCTCGTGGAAGGATAATTCGCAAAATTATCTCGGCAAAGTCCAGGTCGTAATACCATGGCGATCTATACAAATGCTTCTCCCCCACCGCGTGCGCCGAAAACTGCGGTCAAAACTGCGAAGTCGCGTCTCTCCGTCATCAACAATAACCTCCCTTAATTCCTCCTTCTCCCCTTTCGACACCCTAAAGACTCTACAAGCTCATCGGTGGAGCGTATATGATGGACAATACCTCGTACTGCTCTTTGTTGGCATATTTTCGCTCTGTGTTATCGAATCGCCTGGCCCCTTCGCCAAAGCTCTGGTTGCCTTTGGGTTGATAACGTCGCTACTTCTTCCAGCCACCTGCCAATTCTTCCTACCATTTCTCCCTATCATTGCTTGGCTCATCTATTTCTATGCCTGCCAGTATGTTCCCCCCCCTCTCCCATCTCATCCCTTGGATACTTTTTCGTATCGTTGAAGCGGCGATCGAGCGCGTCATAGCTGACATGTCACGATTTCACCCCTTCCAAACAGATTTATTCCAAGCGACTGGCGGCCCCCAATATGGGTGCGCGTGCTTCCAGCACTTGAAAACATCTTCTACGGTGCCAATCTCAGCAATATTCTCTCTGCCCGTCAGAATACTTTTCTAGACGTCTTGGCCTGGGTTCCCTACGGAATTATGCACTATGCAGCTCCAGCTATATGCTCCATTATAATATTCATTTTCGGACCCCCTGGGATGACCCCAATTTTTGCTCGCACCTTTGGATTCATGTGTATTACTGCGGTTACCATACAATTTTTATTCCCGTGCTCTCCTCCTTGGTACGAGAATCTGTATGGGTTGGCTCCTGCACACTACGGAATACCGGGGTCTCCTGGTGGCTTGGCCCGAATTGATGAACTTTTTGGTGTAGACATATATACGTCTGGCTTTACGGCATCGCCTGTACCATTTGGTGCCTTTCCCTCCCTGCATGCAGGGAACGCAACCCTCGAGTCTCTATTTTTGAGCCTTATTTTCCCCAAGCTTAAACCTGTTTTTATTCTCTATACTGCGTGGCTGTGGTGGTCCACGATGTATCTTTCACACCATTACGCGGTGGATCTAATAGGCGGTGGCTTTCTAGCCGCTGTCTCGTTTTACTTCGCAAAGTCAAGATTCATACCACGAGTCCAGGCTGATAAAACATTCCGGTGGGACTACGATTATGTGGAGGTTGGGGAATCGCCGATCGACCATGGTTATGACTTAGCAAACTTCCACGGTGATTTGCATATCGATTCTGACGAATGGACCGTAGGATCGTCTTCCTCCATATCTTCCGGTTCCCTCAGCCCTGTGGATGAAGCTCAATCCCTGTGGGATGGCGAGACCCTAGGTGCAAACTCAGACCTTGAAGCAGGTCGCTGATTCAAATCACGCTTCGATCATCCCCTTTCCGAAAAATAACCCCCCATTAATACTTGGCAACGCCCCTCCTTGTCAATAAAACCAGCATTTTGAAGTAATAGCGGAATTTTTAATTAATGACTCACGGCATATTCTGGAGCCTTCTGTTTCAGCTTTGAGCGACTTCTTTTCGAAAGACATAACTTTAATGACTTTGGATACCTTTTCTTCCCCCCCCTTTTATCTTCTCTTCTCAACGACTCCTGCGATTCTATTTTGCCATTCAGCCTATATAATGGTCTCCCCGGATGTCTCTAACCCTTCCGAATTTAATCGATCACGTGTTCAACTTCTTGAAGGCAGTCGATGGGGAAAACGAAGTATCTTTTTTCCTTCGTTTCCCTATAAATAATATGCCGCTGGTTCCTTCTGGGCATAAAAGCCAATCTCCTTTAGGGTCCTCGCTATCCGGATATCCATTATCTAGTCCCACACATTCTAATCGGAGAGAAAGGGCTTCCGTATACGGATTCAGAAATCTCCCGTCTGGCGGCACCACCGATCTGGGAGCCATTCCATCTTTATTTGAGGGGATATAAATATATTTTCTTCATAGCAGCATGTGGTATAATTTTCAAATGGCTGTTAAGGTGGATTTGGTGAAGGCTTTTCATCACCCGCATTTCTCTTCGTTTCCCTTGCAACAGCGCTTTGACATTTATCCGGACACCATCCACACAGGGAAAAACAATAATTGGGCTGGCGCAGGCTTGTACATTTTTAATTTCTTTTCTTTTTCATTTTTCCTTTTTCATTAAACCTTTCATTACGTTCGTTACGCTCATGGGTGTTGTCGGATGGGGCTTTGTACTGTACAGACTAGTGTCGGGTTGGCATGGCGGGCTGGCGAAAAAGAGAGAGCTTATTATAGTTCCTTGAATGAATCTTTTCCCCCGCAATATATTTTTTGTATCTCTCTTTTACTATCATTCGTTTGCATCAGCCATGAGCATATAGAGATGTTTTAAACCCGTTTTGCCTCTTTTTATTGTGATAATCTATCTATTTGAGGTAATTTTTTTTTAGCCCTACCTACAGGTTCCGCTCTCCGACCTCAACTACGGGGTAACCCTTCGTTTTTTTTATGGCTTTGTTCCTCTTCTTGTTGTCTGTTGTTTCGTCAGGGGCTGTTGTTTAGCTACCTCCCCCTACAGCAGCATCAATGCAGGATTTCTTTTTTGCATTATAATTCTTCTTTTCCATGGTCTTTCCAGTGTGGTTTTCCATGACGAGCAAGCAGGTTTCTAATTGACAATTCATTGGCAATAAACTGTCTTTCTCCTGTTGGTTTGGGGTCGGGAGGCGGAAGAGGGCTGGCTACGTGTGTTGTTTCTCCTTTTCCTTTCCCCCTTCATCTTGTGTGTGTATTTTCGCATCGACATCGGCAACACGATTTTGTCAAGAGATAATGCTGTCATGGGAGGTATTCCAGGAAGATGTAGCTTTCATTTATATTTTCTTTCCTTTTTTTTTTCCTGCAAAGCTCGGTGGATGGGGCGGGATGGGATGGACGAGCAGCAGATAAACCCAGACAACCTGCATCCCCGACTCATGCTAGAAGAATTGAAAACAAAGGGATGTTTTTTTTCGCGCGTGGGGCCTTATCCTACTGATGAACGATGATGAAGATTATGTGACGTTTTGGTTTCGTCTTGTTTTTGTCGCCTTTTGATTGATATTGGTGTCTCTACCTCCCCCCCCCTTTTTTTTTCTAACACGGCACCCATTAAACTAATAGTAATCAACTAATACTGACTCCATTTAGCTTATTTACTGCTTTGCTTGACTTATCCCACCATCTCCCCAGTCCCTTCTTCTCCATTCTGTCCTGTGAGGAAGAAGAAAGGTTCGGTTGGATGAGAGTATGATTTCGGAATATCTTCAAACGCTCGAGCGTCTTAAGATAGATGATGGATGAGCATTCCTTCAAATATAGAGTTCCGAGACCCACACATACGTCTTATCCTTCATAAAAAGAATTTCTTCCACGCCTCCTACCTACTACTAATCCAACTAAGGATATCCAAAATCCCTAATTCCTCTTTCCTTCCTCCCCGTCCTAGATCATTGCGGCTCCCTGGACAAAATAGAGTGTCAAAAAATTGTTAACTTTCCACATTTTTTGTGCCATGAAGATATAAGCCAGACTGCAACGCCAACCAAGTAATAAGTACGGCGCGTAATTATAAAAGGTGTTAATTGCTAACCAGGTCGTCTATAAACGTAAAGGGGAATTCAAGTGCAGACAGGTGACACGAAACTGCAGAAGGACGGAAAGCTCAAAGGCGCAAACTGCTGTTCGTCGTCAAACGATGCAGGATGTACAGGAAAGATATGTTATACCAAAGAAATACAACAGGTACAACACGGTGTTATATACGACGTACTCCACCCCCAAAAAAATGGACATAATACATTCCAGGGCCACGCTCCTACAGAGCAAAGCAGGTAGGAAATAACAAGAAAGGAAACGATAGGGAGGAAGCGGATTTAGGCAAAAACAATAGGAAATTCGTATTTACACATGACCAATGATATGTTTTACTTCTTCATTCTTCTTCATAGATCTTGACCCGATCGGAATATTCTCTTATTCGTGACACGTAGTTCTCTTCGATCATGTCGCCTCTCCCACCTGCGACGCGAAGGACTAGGTCATTGAGCAAGGACCGTCCGAGAATATCGACATGGTCGCCTAGATGTATCGTGTCAGGTAATAAGCGTGGAAAGCTACAGAAAACATACTGGAAAAAAACGAGCGAATGGTTCCCCAAATAACGTACCGGTATTGGGACCTCCTCGAGGCGAGAAACGATCAGGCTCATGAGGCATCTCATACACTTTGACATTCGCACCAGCGGGGTTATATCGTTTAATCCCCCAACCTTTCGCGCACATATATCCCAAACTCAGCAAGTTGACAGTACCGTCTCCCTCGCTCATAACCACTCCACGGTCCACTATCCCGTTTGTCACCGTCGTATCGATGCTGAAATTGAGCTTCGATACCATGTCGGTATCATGGTGGTAAAAGTAGCTGCGCTCCGTAGGCTTGCCAACTCCATAGAAACAATATATCTTCAGGTTTGGGGCAAGGGGTAAGCGTGCTTCCAGGGGGTTTAGCCACTTGCGCGGATCCTTTTCGTTCGCTTCGACCTCCCTCGCCGTATGTGCGACACCATGTGAATAGTTCCGGACGACCTGGTTTTGGAACCACTGCTCCGTGTGATTGAAGAGAAATGGCAGGCTCGTCTCAGCAGTAAGGTTCTGTTGGGTGTTCGACGAATTTGCCTCCCTGAAATTGATCAGGTTGCCAAACGTAAAGGGTTGATCTTCTTGGTCATCTGGAGCCCAGGAATCGTTTCCCCAGACAGCCTCTCCGCCTTTCGGGAGCATGCTTGATATTCCAGGTATTGCGCGGAAAAGCTCCGCTCTCTCCCATTTGCAAAGGAATTTTTCGAGCCCGTAGACAGCGAAGGCATTGAGTTGTGCGGTGTCTTTCATTTCTCCTGACAGAAGAGCCGGAACCCCCTTTGAAGCCCCTAGCATACAGCCGCTGATATTGATCCACGAATCGATGTGCGTCTCTACCCAGTCAGATCCTCCATTTCCATGTTCCGGACTCTCAACCCATTTGAAGAAAAACATGGCAACTTGCGAGCCCATGCTATGCGAAACAAGAACGACCTTCCTATCCGAAAGCTTCACGGCCGTCTCGATGTATGCCTTGAGTCTACTAAAATAGTGATCGCGCGTTTCGAGGTTGAGATAGGAAAGCCGCCAGTCATAGGCAGCGGTGAAAGCATTAGTCGGATCATAACCAATCGTCGCAAGATTTTCCAAAATTTTGTTCCAAATCCAGTAACCCGTAATGAAGAAGTCCGTTGCATCAAAACCCTGCGCCGCCCGGAGTTTAATACCAGGGGGGTCCAAGCCTGTGAGCTTATCGAGCATAATGTGATTTTTCCAGCCAGTTTTGTCGAGGACGAGGGCCCGCATCATACTCCAACTTCCCCATAACCTTTTTCTAAAATATGGTCTCGACTTTTCGTCCGTTCCCCAACTCTCTAGCCCTGTGGATATGACCCCAGGAACCATAATGATCGGGTGATTTGCTGTGATGCCCTGAGCCTGAAGGCCGAGGCCGATCGAGAAGGCATCATAGCTAACAGCTGCGCGTTCCGTTTGCTAGACAAAGAAAATAGAAATAGATTATAAGTTAGCTCTAGTTTCGACGGAGGTTTTCAAATGATAGCCAAAGCAATAAATGATCCCGGAAGCTCTTAAACATACCGAAAATTGGCTTGCATCTCTGATAATGCCTGCGGGCATAACATCGATCAAGGAATCCAAATTTAAGTCCATCAGGGCATCCAATGTAATAACCTCATTATGATTTGCGAAAAATAAAGCCAAGAATATTCCAAAAACGCCTCCGAGCCCAAATATCAGCCCATTCCGCCGTTTACTCCTCCGCCTCACGGGGATTTGGTGCACCTTCAAGCCCGTGTCAAAATGAGGCTGGTCTCCACCCTTGCGTACCGAAAGAGTAGCGCTGCTACTGCCTTCGTCTGGAGTATCTGCCGTGGATTCGGTGGATGGAGAGCTAGGGTTAGAGGCCGAGAAGATGTACCCAAATCGACGGCGAAGGCCTGACATCGCGGAGAATTGACAAGACCTGTTTCCGCTGTTGCTTCAGAGGCTTGTATATATGTAAGATGTCGTCGACGGGGCTAACATGCCCGTCATAGCAGGCGGAGTATCACATGGGCCAGTGTGGAAAGAAAGAGCTGCGAAGGCGGAAACAGCAGCTTGTTTTCCTTAGCTTATTTTATTTTGGCGGGCAACCTTGGAATCCCGGGCAAACATTCCCCGCTATGCATTATTTAATCTAGCCCAGACTGCCGAAGATTCGGGTTTTTCTACTACTTACATGGGAGTGCCAATTAGGCGGATGGTCTGACACTCTTATGCAGGGAAGAAAACTAGCAAGGAGAGCTGCTCGTGAAATCGCAACACCATGGCCGACGATGCGGCATCCCATCTCCGCTATATCCAGTATGAAAGTGACAAGGAAAACGAATACGTCTCCGCAATGCGCCAATTGATATCCAAAGACCTTTCGGAGCCCTACAGCATCTATGTCTACCGCTATTTCCTCTACCAGTGGGGGGATCTCTGCTACATGGTAAATCCTAGGCTTCTTTTTGATATACCCCGCTGGCGCAGCCTGCCTCCCGCAAACGAATTCCCCGTAGCTAACCCTGTCTTGCTATATATACAGGCAATGGACGGCAAGGATAATCTGATTGGGGTTGTCATATCAAAACTTGAACCACATCGCGGTGGGCCTCTGCGCGGTTATATTGCTATGTTAGCTGTGCGAGAAGAATACAGAGGCCAAGGCATTGCGACGACGCTCGTACGTATGGCTATCGATGCCATGATTGCCAGAGACGCGGATGAGGTTTGCTATTGTTCCTCTTCCATTTTCTATCCCTCCCACAAACACACTTTCCTCCCTACTCCATTCGCGATTCATTCCAGGTAGCAGCTATGCCGGGATTTACCCCACCAGAACAAGCAAGCAATTAACCTCCGATTTCTCCATATCTAGGTCGTCCTCGAAACAGAAACAAGCAACACCGCCGCCATGAAATTATACGAGCGTCTAGGGTTCCTACGCAGCAAACAACTCCACCGTTACTACCTCAATGGCAACTCTGCCTTCCGGCTTGTACTGTATCTGAAAGAGGGTGTGGGCCTCATTCCGACCGCCGTCGATCCGTACGGGTGCAATCCGGATGGATTGCCCACGCAAGAAAGAGGGGAACACCCGGGGCATCACGTTTGTTGATTACGCATTACAGCTTCAAAGGATTTGTGGGGAGTGAATCAAGGAGGAAGCTTTGGGCTACGCTACCCATATAAGACTCACGAGAGTCCAATCGTGGAATCAAAAGGCCTATGAGATGAGGATGACAGGGCATCTCCCCCGGCCTTCCCTCGAAACACGGTTTCCATACCAGGGTCTAGCATACTCCTTGAGTTCCCAAACAGGCCGCGCTTGCGGTTGCCCACATGGAGAAGTCAGAAGACCGAGGGAAAGGAATTTTCCCTGAATATATAGAAGGCCGTTTTTTTTTTCTTTTTGTTTTTCTCTTGAATTGTTTGATACCCCCATGGTGAAGATCCTCACCAACAACGGTCAAAGCAATATTTAGGGATTTTAAATATGAATTTTAGATAGACAAGTTATGCCAAACCGCAAATCCCTCGCTTATTCAACCTCGCTTATTCAAAATATGTAAACGCCGTAATCCCTTTCTAGATAATGGGAGATAGAGCTCTAATATGCAAAATATCTTCAAGGAGCCCAGCCCAAATGGTATCTATACAGTGCAGGATATGGATTGATGCACACTGATGCAAAACAATGTACTATGTATACATCAGCACATACATTTGATCAGCTACTTTGGTACCCGAGTAAGTAACTTAGGAACAAATGAGAAATGGGATAAAAATATATCGAGGAAATGCGAGGGAGGAGAGAAGCACGATGATGTACATGTACATGAAAAGATACACATATGATGTGGAAATAAAACATAATACAAGTTTATATACAAGGGCAGGGGGTTGGCACGGACGAGAGGAGGGCATTTGGATGTCACTCGCAAGGAACCAAGAGCCATCTCCACCTTTCCACTGTCTCGGTTTCATCTGTGACTCGGGCTTAGTGAATTTTGCATCCGAAACGCTGGTTCTATCTTGTGTTGGGGAACCTTGCTATGGCTTTGTTCCAGGCTCTGCTCCCGGCCCTGGCCCCGTGCTGTTTGCTGTTTGCTGTTTCGACTCTTGCTCTAGCTCTTGTGGCTGCTGTTCCTGTTGTTTTTTTGGTTCATCCCGAACTTCACTCTCCCCAATTCCGCGGCTTCGAGGGGAAAGACCATCCTTTTCCCTGTCCCTCTGAACCACCTTCTCATCCACAGGAATTTTGATCACGTTTTTAACCACTTCCGCAATTGGCATATTTTCAGCATGTCCACGTGCCCACCCCATGTCCAGCGCATGAGCCTCCCACATCATGTGGCTGAACGGCAACTGCGGCTGATAACGCCACACTGCCTCAAAGTCCTTTTTGATGATCCAATGTGCAAGTTGCCGCTGCTGGCTCCTCAGCTCGCCAGCGGGTTGATACTCGATCAACAACGACACAACGTTATCTGTCCCCAGGAGCTCTTGGTCGGGAGTGGGTGGTGCGTTCTTAATGGTGTCAAAACGAGCTTCCAGATCAGACATATCAATTTTAATCCCAACAATCGCCTTGCCAGCTTTTCTAAACCAGTTTGCCTCGGACTCATTGCCAGGCGGAGTGACTGTGTTTCGGAGAAGAGAGTCGAAGACCATGTGTTTCATGCTGCTGCTTACGAGGCCCCAGAGACAGGCGTAGGTCCAAATGACACGGCAGGTGTTGTAGTACCTAGCCTCCCATGCGGCGCTGAAGAGAATTCGGACGGTTTCGTTATTTACGGTGAGCCCAAGAAAGTGGTTGACAAGGTCTAGGTAAACAGCAATTGCTTCCGAGTATTGCTTTCTATTGCGATGCACCGCAACGCCATAATTCATGCACTGGACATCCAGTTTTATTTCCCTTTGTTTGCATATCTCTATAATGTCGTGAGCTGCGTCGGAATTGTGTAAGCGTACAGTTACGCCCAGCATAGGTTTTATTGAATCGGTACATATCCAACCCTGTCCGTATCTTTTATCCATCACTGCGAAATAATCTTTGACGGATTGACCACTGTCTAAATGTGACGCGAACGCGTCTGGAATGATCCGGTATATGAGGCGACGAAGGACACGCTCATCGTCCAGCAGTCCCTCTTTGCGCAGGCGCGCGACCACTTTCTGCCTGACATTGGATGACAGGATAGTGTCAACAAATGCCACCCACTCCAACCCATTCGGCTTAACACCGCAACGTTTCATCAGGGAGATGAGATAGCGAAATCTATCCAGGTCACAGTTCTTAGAACAACCTGCGAGCAAGGCGTTGAAAGTCCTAGTCGTCATCAAGTGCTCAAAATTCGGAAAAAGAGATAAAAGGACTGGCAGATATTGGGGGTATCGGTAGCAATAGAATATGACTGAGTTTACCGCTCTGGTAGACAAAAACTGCTTCGTGTGCGGGTTAGTGAAAAGTTCGCGGATTATATCAATAATCACGTCTCGGTTTAGCCGTCCATCCGGATACAGCAAGCTATGAACAGGGCTTGAAAATGAGAGGTTCGTAATTGATTCTAGATAGTCGCCAAACTTCTTGATAGTCCACTTTTTGGGTCTTCGGAAAACATCTGCCCGAATGGGATTCCTCGATCTTCTCCCTTTAGCAATCAACGGCAAATTGTGCGTCCAGACTGATCGGAGCTGTGGAACATCGATGTTGTGTCTCCGTTTCCAATCGTGAGCAGTCACAAAGGGGGGTAGCCAGTCGGGCACCCCACCTTCGGGAGTGTGAGCTGTTTGGATATCCGCTCGAATCTCTTTCTCAGCCAGTCTAACGGCCTCCGGAGAACCTGTAAGGACGACCTTGCGCTTGAAATCCACAGAATCGCGTTCCCGTGGCAGTATGTGAACACGACACCCACTCAACACCCTGATGTCCCACACGTTCTCCCTCTCATCGCCAGCCAGAGCGACCACATCCGTTTCAGACAGGTATATGGTTTTCGCATACGCTGGTGCGGGCTTGTTCTCCGCATCGCGCTTTAGGGCCATGATCTCATTCATTATATCCATCCATTCCACATAGAGCTTGTTTTGCTTTAATGGCGGTTTACCTGACAGCTCACGTTCCAGTTGCTTCCGCCACCACTGCTCAGCGCGAACTTGCCGGACCACGCCAGAGCTATTGGCTCCAATGGCATCAACTTCTTTGTATACATCCATAGATTGCGCAGAGCTTGGAGCGGACGGGGTGTCACTAACTGGGGAACGAGCATCGTCGACATTGGATGGTCCTACTTCTGTTTCCTCCGGCACCCCATCATTTTCACGATTCCCTGATTCGTCAAAATGTGAAGTCGAAATATTCGAAGTTGTCGGAGTAGCATTAGAAGCTGAAGGAGGTGCAGTATAATTTCTCAAGGTATAATGAGAACTTGACCTGGTGTGACTGTAGCAATTGGATGAAGGCGAATTATGCCGGTTATTGCCCACCGCTGGAGGGACGCGCAAACATCGTACATATCTCTTTTGGGTCAGCGTGGGGAAGAACTCCCGCGGGTATAAGAAAGGTAGAAAAGGCTCATTGCGGCAAACGGTAACTGGCTCAAGGGGAGCTTGAGAGGAAGACAACCGTCTTAAGCCATGACGGGTGCCCAAGAGCATTGGATTCAAAAGCACGGGTGTTCCCCAGCTTGCTGTTGTGGATTCGCGTGGAAATACCTATATCATAGCAAAGCTTTTCTGGGATATATTAGCGTATCGTTCGTCTGAATCTTTCGGTTCTTTCGATCGGGATAATTTTTTTGGTCTTTTGACTTATTTAACTGGCGGCTAAGAAAGTTGCTTGGAAAGGCTAGCCGGGCCTAAACCACGTGATTAATATAAAAAATCGTACTAGTATTGCTTCTACATGCCTCTCGTCAATACTTGAAAAAAAAAATAAATAAATAAATAAAAATCTACTAAGTCCACTCCTCCATACGCAACATTAATTAATATGTTTTCCCCAAGAATATCGAAAACCAGATCCAAATGCCGACTCCTGAGAATGACAACTAACGGCGCTCAAGAAATAAAAAGGAGCGAGAGAGAGGCTTCGTGTTGTCGCTCTCTTCTACGAAATGCCTGGACCTTCGGTTTCAATTGACGGCGAAACTAACAATGTGAAGGATTTAGCTAAAGCTCATACCAATAGTCCTAAAGAGTGAAGAGCTATGCAACCTATTGTCATGAGCCCATTGGCAGAGAAGATCGAATATACAGACGCAAGAAAAATATGACTCTCCAAAGTCGAAGTGCTATGGCAAAGAGGGTTAAACTGTCCATTCCCGCATGGGCAAATGGCGCTGTTTTTCAAGGACTCTTCAGAAGTCGCGAAAATTGACACGCCGAGAGCGGTCTTCGCCGAGGAGAGTCTTCTGGTAGCGGTTGAGATTCGATCCAAGTCTTGTTTTGGAAAGCGAAGGCAATTTGGATATTCGGATTGAGTGGTAGAAACGTTCGTTCCGCATGCTTGGACAGGATAATCTCGGAAGGCGTTCTAATCAAGGGGAGTGTTGAGGCTTGCCAGCATTCCATAACAATTGCGCTGTGACCGATGAGTTTTGGTTAATTTCAATATTTAGACTGTTAGGCGATCGAAGAATGAGGTAGAATCATACTCATCAAATAACAAGAGTTTTTAGGCTATTTTTCGATTCAAGGTCTAGGCAATGCTGGATTTACAAAACCTAGAGTAATTCTATCTTTAGCTGAGCATGCGCAAAGTTTGCTGTTTCAAAAATGTGTGGCTCAAGAAGGAAAACCCTGGCTGGTTACTCGGTAAGAGCAGATTCAATACAGTGGAATGAAATAATGAGATTCTTCGCTTGTGAATGACTTCTTTCACCAGATGGGGCGGTTTTTAAATCCCCAAATCAAAACATCCCTACCAATCCTGAGCAATAGAACCCGTCTTTCTAATCACTGGTCTGTTCCATATCCACCACACTGCGCACAACGGCCTTTCCTTTGGATTTATTAATAGATTGATGAGCCGGCTCGCTGCCCTCTCCGACATCCGAGCCATGTCCCTCCTCCCGAACTAACACCTTTGAATTAAGCCAGAAATTCAGGTCTTTCAACCGCCCATCCTCAAATATTTTGGCAAGACTGTCTCGTCTTCGTTTCTGAACACCTTCAGCAGTTGCCGGGATGGTCTCCATAGTATATCGTAAGTAGTCCAAGAGTTGTTGGCGAGAAGTATGGAACATTAAAACAGATAGAATCTCAGACATCTGTAGATAGAAAGTAAGCATGTTTGCCATTGAATCTGAGAAAAGAAAAGAAATAGAATAGACCTCAACGCGCAAGGGAAAACAGTAGAAAACCTTGGAGGAACTCAGCTCTTACCTTTTCTGGGAGTAAATGAAATTCCTCGTCTGCATACTTCACAAAGCGTTGAACGGCAAGGATTTTATCCCTATCTAACGAAGCTCCCGTCATCGCACATAACAGCGTTCTGATAGTGGTGATATCCTCAGGCAAAATATCCTCTACTCTCACGCCAACGGTCGAAATGGTTACGCGGCTTACTCGTCGGCTCTCAGGATCAGCCTTCAGCGTCCGGCACGAGCTGACGGTAAAGTAATCTCCATTAAGCGTGGACGTTTTACCTAGGCAGACGTCTTCCTCAGGCCCAATATATATCTTCCTAACCCTTTTTCTCAGCCATCGTCTTCGTCTTACAAAGCAGTGGTACCACGGATGAGTACCATGCCATGCAAAGCGCGATGAAAAGGAGAATGAATACTGCCATCCAGCCTCGTCAACGTCATAGGACATATCAATATACCAGGTTTCCCACGCCCACTCCCAACTAGGGTCAGGCACCTGCGCATTGGTAATGTCGACGGGGCTAGCTGCGAAATTGCGCGAGAGCCAGGCAGACGGATCAAAATTTAGAAGCGACTTTGCTGAGTATATAGGTATCCCGAAGCACCACCACCCTCGCTGATTCTCGTACAGCACGTCAATCTCGCTATTTTCGCTAGTCAGAGGGGGTTGTGAGGAATGTGAGGCTGAGGGTGCGAGCTCCGACGAGCCGTCAGAAGCTCCTTTAGAAAGGGCTTGCTTCCCAAGTTGTTTGGTATTGTCCCTGGAACCCTGACGCTCTATTCCTATATCTGCAGAACCCTGCCGCGACAACGATGCCCTGTTACTGTCGATGGAATCATTGCTATTGCCGTTCCTGTATCGACACTGTTGAAACTTCGCGTATTTCCTCCGTGCTAGGCTATCCTTCATGGAACTCTTCGTCAACTTCTTCGTTAACGCCGTAGCCGTGCGTGAGCCAACTGAGAGCCTTTGCTCAAGGTCTTCATTAGTGGTGGACACTGGCTCGACCGGTGTTGTTGGAGAAGTCTTGTCGACGAGGGAAATTCCTGGTATAGTCGACATTAATAAGGCTAATCAGGTAAATAGGCTTGAGTATGAGAATTTAAGTACGGCAGGTGGTGGCGCTTTATAACGAAGCGTAGGAAGTGGCAGTAAATGAAACGAGGAAACGTTGAATCGGAGCTCATATTGGTGCAGGAAATCTATGGCATGGAGCAGTCGCGGACTGCTACGGGTGCTCCATCAACATCTGTCAACGAGAGGAGAGGCAAAATGACTTTAAGATGCCATTGGATGCAGGCACATCCTTTAGTTATCTCTCTCTTCTTTTCTCATCTCGGCCTTTTGCCTGGCGTTCGCTACCAGAAAGCGTGATATCCAAGTTTCAGAGCTCCGGCTATGACATCAAGCCTGCGTCGACGCTAAGCTAAATTGGGGCAGCACGTAAACATTGATCGCGACCAAAGCCAAATCTTTCACCCAGATCAAGAACCAAGCAAAGAATCCAGGCATGCATGAAACACTGAATTGATATCAATACATTCCTTACCCATACGGAATAAAATCCCACCGCACAGACCGGAACTAGAAGGGGCATACAAATAATTCGACCAAAAGGAAAGAAAAGCGAAGCAAAGCAAAGCAAACGTAGATCATGGAAACGCCCCACCACCGCAAAATCGAACTGCAATCCCCCGCCGACCTTTCCTATCTTTACGCAAACACTGTCGCCCTCTCCCGCCAAAAACTAGACCTCCATTTCCCTCCCTCCGCCACGCCCAACCATGTCTCCAGCGCACAAGACAATCCCTCAAACCCAGACCCGGACTCAGACCCCATGAAATCCCACGTCCGCAGCCTCGTCGACGAATTCATCCACAAAACCTTCCTCACCGCTGCCCCCTCCATAAGCATAAATGGGCTATCTCCAGCAGACGCCGCTGCTGCGGGTAACGACAATCATAATAATTCACATGGCCCTACTGACCCCCTCTCGTTCCTCCACGTTCGCGAAGCCGTCGAGTACGAGCCGTACGATACGGCGCTAGGGGCGCGTGTTGCTAGTTTGTACGCGCAGTTGGAGTCGCTGACGATGACTGTGGCGCAGTTGAGGCGTGATACCCCCAGAAGAGCGGCGGAGGCGTCTGCGGAGGCGTTAAGAGGGGTTTTGAAAGAGGAAGACGAAGATTGGGAGGTGGATGGGGAGGGAGACGGGAATGGTGATTATGGTGATGATGGTGGTAATGGTGGTGGAAACAGAGATGGGCCCGATGTGGATATGAAGGATTTGGATGGTGAGACGACACAGCTACGACGGCGTGAGCAGAGAGAGGGTTACAAGAACAGGAAAGAGGATTTCACGTTGCATGTTCCGTTTGGACATACGGAGGGCATGAAGAGGAGGTGGATGGAGGGTGGAGTTGCGGATGTTTATGCGGACGCATTGACGACGTTGGTAAGATTGCAGGGCGAGGCGGCAGGGCTTGGGGATGTGCATGATTGTGGTGATGAGGATGGGGATGGATCTGGATCTGGATCTGGCTCCGGCGGCCAGCGCGGACTGGCGACGACGGTGGGAAAAGTTGAGAGGGCAAGGAGGGCAGCGGAGGTGGTGGAGAATTTATAGGAAACGCGATGATGCATTGGGCCTTTTTTCTTTTCTGCATTCTCAGTTTGTCCTCTCTCTAGTCAGGGGCGTATTGGCCTCCTCCTCCTCCTCCTTCTTCTTCTTCTTCTCTCTTTTTTTGATCCCTGGGTTTTAAGGTTGGGAACTGGACGTGGGGAGTGGTTGTTTGTTTTGTATATGGCAAATTGCATGCAATGGGTGTGGGTTTCATATCTGGCGTTCCCCAATTGTGAAGAGACAAGAGATAAATAGATATCCTTCCTGCACATGCTCCTTGTCAATTAATTACATATCATCATATAATTCTTTCTTCGGGCATCTGCAACGTTGCTGACCCTTAAAAAACACCAGTGTGCCCGATTGACTCGCGGATGGATGGACGGAAAACAATAGAAACATAAAAGAGATAAGGAAATAAGTTACGGATACCGGGTAGCCCGCAGATAAAGAGGTCAGGTGAAGAATGACACGTTTTTTAATTACCAGAGGGAAAGGGAGTTTGCTAGAAATGGGATAACAAATCTAGGAATATATAGTTTAACTATATATAGATGCATGTACGAGCAGATGTATATATAAATTTTCTCCACTCGAAATCGAAACGGAGATGTAGACAACAGTATGTTCGACAAAGAGGAGATTGGAGGACAAAAGAAAAGCAAAAAGGTGCCATGACACCTCAGGAAAAAGTGAAATTATTTGCCATCAGAATATATATACCTTGATAGCCACACAGCTAGTTAGCTACTCTCTATGTTAAGTCAAAAAAAAAAAAAAATGAAAAAATGAAAAAAAAATGAAGAGGAATGTAAATGAAAATGACAATGAAAAAGTAACGAACGCACAGCACATGACAGCAGCCACAAAAAGATAAGAAGAAAAGAAGGGAAGTTTTATATTAAAAAAAAAAGGTCTACGCCGTCACCTCCCCATTAATCTTCTGCTTGACAGTGTCCGCCTCATTTTTCTCTGTTTCTTTCTGCATCACTGCTGTCTCCGCCGCCTCCGCCGCCTCCTTCTGCCTTTCCTGTCCCTCACTCCCCTTCTTCCCCTTATTCTCCTTATCAGCTTCCTCTTTCGCCGTATCGTCAGGTGCCTTCGTAACCCACTTGGGCTCCTTCGCCCACTCCTTCTCCTGCCAGGGACCCATGTCGCTAAACTCACAGCCATTCTCACACTCACACTCGCCGCCAAACTCTTTCGGCAGGTTCTCCTTGGGGACTTGCGCCAGCAGCTCGGCCTCATACCCGCTGCCCAGCACATGGATCTTCTGCACGGTAACGGGGTCCAAGAAGCCCTTGACGACGCTGAAGACGCTGGAGAACCCCCACGGCGCGTTGATGAGGTACAGCTTGCCCAGACGCTCCGGATAGTAGTTCTGCGAAATGGCGGAGGCCTGTTTGACGTAGCCGTAGACAGAGGGGACGCGGGTGATGCCCACGCCCTTCAGGTCCATGATCGAGCAGCAGGTTTCGAGTAGCTTGCCGGCCTTGCGCGAGCAGGCGGGCAGGCGCGGGTCGGCGAGTTTCTCGTATTCGCAGACTAGGTTTTTCAGCATGCGATCCGCTGTGGTTATTTTGTACATGGCGTTTAGGTCGATTTTGCCCAGTTTTTCGATGTAGACGGGACGGCCATCCTGGATCGAGAGTAATGAAAGATAGATGGATAGGTTAGCTGTTTGTGCCTTTTTTTCCGCTCAATGAACGGAGCTTTGATATCTCGCATCTTTCGTCCAACTGGTAGAACACCCCTTTTTCCCACACGGCGGGGGTTTGACCAAAAAAAAAAAAAAAAGAGAGAAAGAAAAAAAAAAATAAATACGAAAAAAACGCACTTTATCCGTCTTGTGATAGTATTGTGGATAGTACTCGAACACCTGCGGTTTCTCCGGGTACTCGAACGTATTCACCAGATCATCCGTACCGAACTCTTGCCGCCATTTCTCGCACTCGACAAACCTGCAATGAACCCGAAGAAGAAGAGAAAAAAAATTAGTTCCCATGGGCACCTCTACTGCTCCACCCCCGCATCCCCCAAACAATGGGGAAAGAGTACAGAATAAAGAATAAAACAGATAGATAGATAGACATACATCGCCTTCGCCGCCTCAACGTCAAACTTCCTCGCGCGCAGGAACCTCAGCAGCGTCAGGGTATCCAACCGCTCCGTGTAGCCGAGCTGCTCCAGCATGATCCGCAGCTGGTAAACCTGCGCATCCTGCTCCGGGGTTGTGTGGCCTGGGTGGCCTGATTGAGCGTCAGGGGCGGTGGTTGGGAAATCGTAGTCGTCGTACTTGGGATCGAGGGTGAGAGGGTGGGAGGGGACGGCGGGCGTTGTCATTGTTGCGGGACCGGGTGTCTTTTTGAATCCTCTGGCTTCCTTCTTCTTTTTATTTGAAACAAACCTCTGTTCTCTTTTGCTTTGGTGGGGGGGTTGCTTGGATGGATAAGAATAAGAGAGGCTGGGCAGAGCGAAGATGAGGGGGGAAACGAGAGCGGAGAGTTGGTAGCTGAGGTAGTGGAAAGGTGCTGGGTGTGCGTGTAGGCGGTGGTTGTTGGGTGAAGTTCCCAGGCGGAGATCAGTAGAAGAAGGGTTAGGGGGGAGAGAGAGAGAGAGAGTTAGTGTAGTGTAGTGTGGTGTGTGGTGTGTGGTGTGTGTTGGTGGGCGATGGAGGCACAATCGAACAGATATTTGCTTTCTGGGCGCTACGCCTCCGGAACTAGCAAGCTCCCTTCTTCCCACCAATTCCGATTCCTTTTCCTATGGTTTTAATTTCTATTATGATTCATGCCCTCTCATGCCCTCTGATGCCCTCTGACCGCTGTTTATTTTGACTAGCTCCCTATCCTTCCCACAGAGTTGCCTGGCGCTTTATTGTACTGTGGACTGGCGACGGTTTGTTGGTCCAAGCGAACAAGTAAAAGATAGTTACTGCTGTTCGGTTGGTGGGGACTCGATCAGACACAGCAGACACATCAGTGCTTCAAGCATGTAATTCGTCTTGGATTCTCTAGGAGGAAATTCAAGAAAACAAAAACCAAAAAAGAAAAAAGAAGAAAAGTGATGGCGGGGCCTACGTTCGTTCGCCTAAGGTAGCTGCTGATTATTACTATCAGTTTCTTCTAAGGACACAAGGCATCAATAGAGTAATGATAATGCATCACTAACACAAACTCGCTGCCTCAAGTTTCTCCTGCCTTGATTGAAGTTACGGGAAAATAATAGAGAAATAAAATAAATGGTCAACCCTTTTGTTTTTAAAGAAAATACCTAGCTACAGCTAGCCCTAGCTTAGATCCAGCTAAACGCTTTTGTTTCATTGCCTTCAAGATGTCAATATGTATATACGTATGTCTGGTAAACAAAGTAATGATGATAATAATAATAATAAATAGAGCAGAAAAAAGAAAGAAAGAAAGACAACTAGCAAAATGACCAATGAAGAAAAACGTCCATAATCCATAGCGAGAACATCAGAGGGGAAAAAAGGAGGATACTGGCCAACGAACAACCCAGTTATAAATTGAAAAAAAAAATTAATAACAAAATAAAAATGGAAAAAGAAATAGAATAGAGCAATGGCTTAACAACACACCTCCTCTCTCCATCGCCGTCTGTCTGTATCAAAAATAATAATAGGCCGCGAGAGGAAAGACACGGATGAGCAAAGGCAAGAAGAGAGAAACTGAACAAGAATAAGAATAATATTACAGCAAAAGACCACAGAAAGGGGAACTGAAAGAAGGATAGATGAAAATATGAAGAATTGTGTAAGGGTGTTTTGTTATGTTAAAAAAAAATTACAGGGATATATAACCGACTCAAAAAGGAGGGTAAAAACAAATAAATAATAAAGACAGCTGTGCTTGCTGAAAAAAGAAAACGAACAAAAAAAAACAATAGGACGGTGCCCATGTTGAAGAGGGTTAAATGAAATAAGAAGAAGTTGAACAGAGTAAATGGAAACACAATATCCATCCCTTGCATAATACGCATAATATCTGCAGGACGAGATGAAAAGAAGTTCAGTGACTCAGGTGATAAAGGAGGGGGGTGTGATGGTAGGAGAGAATATGACATTAGGGAGACGGGCTGTATTATCCTTCCAGAGGAAATAAAACAGACAGGACAGGATCCTCCGCCTCCCTTCTCGGGCCCTTTCGCCTTGTGTGGTTTATGGGTACGGGTATGGGTATGGGTATGGGTATGGTATAGGGGTACATGTTTGAGGAGAGGACATGTAAGTTCGTGATGTTCGTTCATTTCCTTTCACACCAAGTTACACATTCATTATTCATCCTTCGTCCGGAGTGTCAAGGTTCGTGGTGTGCCATGTCAAGCGAATACATCGATATGGGGTTCGGGATGGATGGGCTATCGTGGGAAATTTGGCATTGGAAGAAAACGTAATCAGAATGAAGGAGGAAGGATGAAAAAGAAAAGGGATATCAGATAGATGATAGTCAGAAAGAGCAACAAAAAAAAGGAAAACAGAACAGAACAGAGAAGTTCGGATGAGAGGCATAACAAGACAAGACAGGAGGCGCATCGGAAACATTGTTAAAAAACAGGATGTAAAAGGTAAAGCAGGGTACGAGAATGCAAACTGCCTCAAAATCTCCAGAAATTAAAATAAAACAGATAGAGTAAAACACATCAAAATTCGACTCATTTCGTCGTTCCCAAGATTTGCTTCGGAAAAAAAAAAGTCAGGAAAAAAAATATACACACGGGGCGAATAATGTCCCATCTTCGCGGTCAAAAAATTCCGTGCTGTTCCTCGCCGAACGAGCCCCTTCTCCCATTTTCCGCGTTTCGGCAAAATTGAAGGTAGTTGGTACATTGGGCATACGGCAGGAAGTAGGACACCCGAAGTAGTAGCAGTGATAAATCACAAAAACTTAAAACATGTTATTTTCTTTGAAGCGGTGGTTTGGCTCTCCCTTCCTTCTTGAGTGGAAGGGTTGGCAGGTCCGCGGAGAGGGTGTTGCTTTTGGAGGACGAAAAAAGAAGTTGATATTTTTGATACGCCGAGGTTCCGTCTCTTTTTCTTTTTCTTTTTTTTTTGTCCTTCTGTCTTCTGTCGTCTTACCACCCCTTCTTCCGCGCAAACCGTTTGTTCAGCAACGAAAGCACCCTGGAAACGTTGAACTGGACGTATTCCAGATCGAGGTCTTCCTGGTTATCCTTCTGCATTTCCAGAAGATCGTCGAGTTTCAGATCTAGTTCTAGAAGACCTCGCGCACGACCTAAAGCACAAAAAGATATAGAGTAGTTACTGGTTAATAGGGTCGCAAAGCCTCCAACAAAAGATAGAGAAGAAAAAACCTCACCTTTATAATGCAAACTAATCACAAACGTCCCCGGCAATGGACTCTTAAACATAAAGTAAATATTCGCCCGCCGATTTTCTGGAACGTTACTCTTGCGAATCACCCCTTCCTTCTCCAGCTGTTGATGGGTAAACTTATACGGACCCAGTTCCTGGTGTTTCTGCTGTTTCCGCTGCTTGCCCTCGGACTGGCTGCGCACGTTATGTAGGTATGACTTGTATGTCTCTAGTTGGCCGACGAGGTAGGCATTATGGTCGCGAATGGTGCGGAATACTTCATCCAGTTTTCGAGTTTCTTCAATGACTTTCTCTTTCAGGGAACCCAGATGCACAAGCTCCTGTTCCACCTCATCGCGCAGCAGGCTGAAATCGTCCGACCGATCGATGACTCCCAGCTCCTGCAGCTGGCTTAATAGCTCCATGGTGCGTATTCCCTTCCTAACCATGACGGCATCGTTCTTCAGCGTGGCGGCTGCCTCAGCTATCCGGTCGAGTCGGAGAGGTCGTCGCGTTACGGATGTGTTATGTGGCAGAGAGCGCATGATCTGGACAAAGGTGGACTTAGCTTCCATGAAATAAACTTCCTCTTGAGTAATGTCGAGCGCGGAGGTCAAGTCATCAATGGCGGTCTCCCATTTGCTAAATAGGGGGAGATTGATTGTTCGGTTTTCCTTGCGGGGTAGCTGCGGTGGGGCAGGGCCAAGTTCCTGCAGCAAATGGCCGAGGTGGGAATGCTGGTCCTGCACAGCCAGAGCGGAACAATGCTTGTCGAGAAGTGCATGTGTAGCGTAGACTTCGTTCAGCGTAATCTGGAGCTCTAAATCTCGTTTCGATAACGCAACATAGTTATCCATTTCCAAACTCTCGTAGAAGTCTTGAACTTCGCAAAGGTCCAGGAGGAACTTGTTCACACGCTCCTTATTATCATGGACGAATGGCTGGAGCTTGGACATATAAGGCTCCTTGGCATACGATGGCTTGTTCGCAAGGTTTTGCAGCATCTTCGCGACCAGGGTAAGGGTGCGGCGGGGTTTGTCGGATGGAGTTGCCTCAATGAGCATGTAGGATCGAGGGGTAACGATGGCAGGATTGATGAATCGCAAAAAGAAAAACCCGCCAATAAGCGTACAAATGGTCTGGTCCTGAGCATCAGGGTATTTTCGCCTTGAGAGACTTCGGATCTGTTTGCAGATCCATCGAATGCCATAGGGAGTTTCCTCAAGGCCGTCGATGATTGTTTCTAGGAATGCATTCGCAATGTCTGTCAGCGTCTTCAGCCGTGGCGCAATGATCTGTTGAACTTGTTCATTTTCCGCAGCTACCTCTGCCGTGACCGATTTCGGCAAATAAGGCGGGAGAGATCCAGTGGAGGCTTCGATTTGCTGCACCATAGCCTCATATACTTTTAACGGATTGATTTCCAAATCGACATCATTTAGCTCGATGAGGGAATTGATCTGGTCAGCCAAGACCTGCTTCAAATAAGCCTGCCCCGGGCCTCGCCTGGTGTAAGTAGTCATCATGCGGGAAACGGGAGTATTTTGGCGCAAAAGGGAAGAGTATTCTGGGGTATTATCGAATTGGTAAGTTAGAACGGATTGGAACATAGTTAGTAGCAGGTGCTCCTCTCGACTTTCATATTGGTTGCCGTAGATGGTGAACATGACTGTCTGAAGCAGGGAATCGATTTCGGCCATTGTCACCAGGCGACATAGATGGGC